CGTCGGGCCCATCAAAGTGTCGTCGGTCTTTTCAAGTGCATAGTTCGTAGAAAAGACCTACGTGACCCTGGCCACGAGCGTCTGCAGAACACGTGTGCGGTGGGCCTGGTAAAAGACAATGGAATGCGACAACGGGCAGAGGGGAGTCGAGAAGCAGCGTGCGAGTCGAGAAGCAGCGTGCGAGCGGAGAAGCAGAGCTTGCGAGTGGCGTTACCGAGAGAGTGTCGATTGCGTTTTGTGAGAGTCGAGTCGTATTCTAATCATCTAGTTGTGCTGCTTTCTGTACGTTTGGCGAGAATAGCTCAGGTTGAACAACAATCGCCTTTTCTATCTTCCATTCCTTTGTAAACACACACACTATATCACGATATTACATACATATTCATTCTTACTAAATTTAGATCACTACCTGTGTCTATCTTTGCCACCACATTCTTGTCCATAATCTTAATTTGCTTGACCCCTCCTTTATTCCCATTCCGCCACCCATCACAACGCGTCTTAACCTTAAGTATATTCGCACAGTTTGTTGAAATGTGTCCGAATTCTCTACATTTAAAACATCTAGGACCTCTCGATTTGTTTGGACAATCAGCACTTGCATGTTCTTTATCGTCGCAATTATGACATCTTCTATACTTCACCACACTTGCAGATTGACTATATTTCCTGTTGTCCTCAGGTCTAACCTGTCTCACAGATGACTCTGCTATGCGAGATTTTTGTTCCTCATAGATGATCAGATTTTCCTTAAGTTCTTTCATTGATCTTGCCCCATATAGTATTGCCTTATTAACTTCTTTATCCGTTATTCCTTCTATGATGTACCGCATTTTTGCTGCTTCTTCCATATCCATGTGACTTGCTATGCCAAGCATACGATACATATAAGCTGTACATCCTTCGTCTTCTCTTTTTTTCCGTTTCTCGAAGTCTATGGTGTACTTGCCATGTATTAAATTTTTTTGAAAATTCTTTTATTAGACTTCTTTTTAATTCACACCAAGTTCTTGCACGGCACTCGTAGTTTACAAATATTTTAGCTGATCCTCTCATCAGCTTTTTTGTATAGATTACTTTTTGTTCCTCTGTTCACAAACACATACTCGCCGTTTCTTCAAATGTCCTGAACCATTGGTTAACATTTTCGTTATTTTCGCCTGTAAAAACTTCCAAAGCGTCTTGAACATCTTGAAAACTCAATGTTGTTCGCCTACGTGTCTTTCTACAGCATCTATCACAATTTTGATTCCCATCTCGCACGCTCCTTCTGCGTTCACTTTCATCCTCTTCATCCTCTTCCGTTTCACTCTCATAGTCGGTTTCCTCCTCCAACGACGCATCTTCTTCTAAGGCCGCCCGTAAACGCTCATGTAATTCTGCTTTTCTTCCTTTCGTCTCTAGCCTCATGCTAGCCAGACGTTCCCTCAATTCCTTCGCCCTGAGCCTCTCGAGACTTTCGTCTACATCTCGATCATGCTTATTTTTTGGTTTCGTCCCTATACCTCGCTTCTCCACGGATCTTTCACCACTCACTTGTTCTTTAAGATTTGATTGACCTGCACTAATTGCTCTATTTAGCCTGGCTACCAGCACTGACCTAGCCCCAGATATCGGAAGATTCATCTGAGCAAGCTTATTCCTCGATTCTTCTAACGTTAAAGTTTCTTCGCTCGAAAATTGTTCCTCCTCACAATTTGCCATCTTTAACTTCACAATAATTTCTTCAAATATACACAATATTATTCACAACAGCTAACGATATTTTATCGCACTGCTTCCCGAAATTTAAATTGACACGATTTAAAACTGGACGAGCCCCCAATTTGTAGGAATGTTTATTATAAATTAACAGAAAAGACAGTATGATAAACACAATATTGTAACACTCTCACAAAATTGAATATAATATCGCACTTCACGAATTCGCTTAACACTAGTTCTACGTCACAGCAACACGATGAACTTCTCTCGTCTACGATTAATTCAACTCTGGCCATGCGGCATGGTAATGCTACCACGCTCACTTTTCCTGTAACAAACCTTGGTAACGCTCACAACACTCCTTCACAACATTAACATATCTTAACAACGTTTATAAACAATCAGCCACGTCTTTCGCTAACCTCACCCCATTCCACATGAATAACCCTGGAAGAAATAAAAAAGAAGCAATAAACAGGCATGTAACAGGCGGCAATCCTGAACCGATAGAACCATTGTCTGCAATAATTAGCCATAATTTAAAAATCAGGGCTGTAGGCTAATAATCTGTCCCGGTTTCTGTTCTCCAGTCATATAACTATTACCCGTATAAAATGTTTTATGATGTACGCGTGAGCTTTCGAATCGTGATCGCATATTCTTTCGAGGCCTTGGCCGGCACGTGCGGGCGAACTATCATAAATTTCCGGTCGCTTGATTTCCGTCAGACCCAAAAGGAAAGCAGAAGATTTACTAAGGTGATTTATATGTACTTACTATATGGCATGCCAAGGCTAAAAATATTTTCCGTAAGTATTGGGACATCTACACTCAGCAGAACTCTACGAAGTTCGCTTTGTCTAATATATTTTAAATTAAGCTTTATTTAATATTTTACGTCATAATGCAACGTAATAACAATGCTCACAATACAAACAATGCTCATAAGTAGACTGTAGATATTTATGCGATATCATATTTTTTCCGAACAGAAGCAAAAAGGTAGAACATGGACAGTTTTGTTTACTAAATTTTTTAATCAATTCTCTACTTTGGACGTGTCATACTTTTACGCATTCTAGTTTACACAGTTTAGCGTAGCTTAGTTTTTCTGCGGATCCCCAGCTTAAGGGTTCGCGCGTTTACGACACCAGTTTATGCGTTTATTTGTGGATCCAGGGACCGATTTACGATTATTCCCCTTCGTTAAGAAGCGCTTGCCGATTTTACTGCTTTTTAAGATGGCACGCGAGCCGGCCCATTGTAACATTCTAGAGCTTGTAAGGAGAAGGGTAACGCGATGGCACCAGGCTTGCGAAAGTGGTCGTTTCGACTTTGGTCGAGTGAAGAAGATTTTAGGCATAGTTTTATCGATGTTAACGAGGTCTAGGATCGTTTAGAAATTGGAATTCCTAGGGAATATTTAGAACTAGGCTCGAAATTATGTTTCATTCATTTTGTGTTATAAATTAATAATAGATTGGTTTTTGGTTACCATTCTACCAAATTCACCCAAACTACGAATCAGTTACGAAGAATCGGATTACAAGCCTAATTCGGGGACCATGAATGGAGCTTTCCATAAATTTTATCCCATTGACTTTGATCTTCAAATGACCATTAGAAATCAACTACAAACAAAATTTGGAAGAAAAAGACTAATGATTAATTCCTTCACCACCGATGTATACGATTGCGACTAGGATTGAGATATTATTAGGAATCCTTTTTGCTAGAAATAAAGTAACAATGTAAATTATAAAGCGTCAGTACAGAATGATACAGAATTTTTATGATGCAAAATCAAACAATATGAAGCATGCTGCGATTCGGAGATACACTTTCTATAGTCGTAAAACCGAGCTTCGCGTTGCTTTTACTCCACCGATATCCGAATAGAAAATGAGGTTGAATTTCGTGAAGCGTAAAATTAACCTACATTCAATTCAAAGCGAAAGCAACGTCGATCAGCCAGAGAATCGACATCGGACAACAACGATGACAAACTAAAAATTCTTTGAAGTGCGAACTCAACCGAACCGTGAAAACTCGAACTTGCTCCGATCGTCGAACGAAACCTCCGAACATTCCATGATTAAGGAGATACCAACGAACTGTGTCGAACTTGATTAATCTCGAAATTTCTCGCGAACACCACTGCAACCTCGGTTGGGTTTTGTCGTCATCCTACGCTGTAACAACTTTACGATCTGTATAACGATAAAATGTTCGAAGGGTGAACCTTGCTGCAATCCTAGAATTTGTATACTTCAACTTCGCTTTAGCAAACAAAAGAGATTTCTAATTCCTAAGAAGATATTTAACAGAACGTTGAACCTGAAAATCACAAATACCGAAAACGATTCTCCGATATTTCGCTCAAGCTCGAGCTACTTTTTTCGAGAAAATACGATTGCGTCGAAAATGAGCGAAGGAACGTAGCAAAGTTAACGTTGACTGCCACATAAATGTTCTATATTTCGTCGTGAAAACCGCGATAAATTGAAATATGCACTAACATTGAATTTTTGTAAAATACTGCTTTTTGTTATTAAAAATCTCTTCCCATGAAATTTATCTTATTTCAATCGTCCTAAAAAATTGTGTAACGTGCGCCACCGATGACCACCGTGACAATGGACGCGTTGAAGGTGGAAAAGAAATGGTGTCGCTTCTTTGCCAGAATCGATTCACCGATTTCTCGCGGCTAAAATAAACCACGGATAAGAGTTATCGTGAAGTCATACACTGACATTTATTCCCCACCTCTGGAATCGATGGCGAGCCCCACCATGAGTCCTGGAACACGATTGCGAGCAAGTGTGGGCGTTACGGAGGCCGGCCAAACGAACCCCACCATCGGGGGCAGTGTACGACGTGGGTGTTTCGGATCCTTGGAAGTGCACCTTTTGTTAAGACTATCGGCTTTCCTGGGAAGTTACTCGATCCCTCGTTTCTCTTTGAAAATTTGCCACGAAAATGTTTAAAAAGTCGCCGAAAAATCTACTAATGAGAGCGCCGTGATTTAAGAGTTTCTTTTAACGAGGATACTATTCACCGTGGAAATTTATGTTCGTGTAAGGGACAATCGGTGCGTTTGGTCGCTCATTGTTGCTTTATTTCATTGTTTCATTTATTTATTTTTCATAGAGACAAAAATGAGCGTTTAATGTTTCATTTAATCGTGGCATGGCTGACCATTGAAGACTGTATCTACTTGAGTCGTTTCTGATCTATTACGTTAACATTATTACGTATGACTGTGACGGAATTATGCATGGGTTTCTTCGTTATTAAGAAATATATTTCTAGCATTATTGTTTCAATTTTTGCCGCATATTTATGCTTCGTAACTGGAGAAACTAGGGGAATTATAAATTTACGAAGGTTATGAACAAGAATTATATATTTACGAAAACTATGAAAATTATACTGTGTAATGATAGACGTAGAATTGTAGAATTCCGAAAAAGTCGTGAAAATTAAATCACCCAAAATTGTGGATATCTTCAAAGTAGTAAAATAAAAAAGCTACAATCAATAATGAAATGTACAAAATCAAATCTCGTTGTTAATATCGCATCCTTTCTTTTCGAAACATCGCAATATATCAGAAATGTTACCAATACATTCCTCTGTTCTTTTAACGCTCCTACGTGAAATAATCGAATCATAGCCGGACGCGGCTCAATATTAAAGAAAGTCTAATCAAAGAGGCTCTTCTCCAGTCAAAGATCAACATTTAATTTAATACGGTAAAAAAGTGTCAATTAATTGATCTATTAAAATTTCTTCCTCTTTTACCAACAAAAAGTAAAAACAAGTTACCAACTATTTCTAAAATTGTGTCGAATAAAATACATCACTTTCCACGGCAAATTATCATTCCACGATCGTGATCCGTTTATAGCACAGCAGAAAACTCCAAAAAACGATCACAGTTTCCACAACGCTGATTTTCCACGGTAAGGAAATAGTACGCGTCGTGCTCAGGCGTCATTGAAGTCGAGATCAAACGCGACGTACGATCACGGCGCGCTCAAAGGGACGAAATACGACTTCCTCGTTTCATACAAAGCGTGGTCCCTTCGAAACTATTACAGAAAGCGAGGAACGGGAAGAGGAAAAGGGCCACGGTCGACACGAATCTCATAGGGTAAAGAGTTACCGATTACTGTGTACGATGCGATAAATCTCGAAAATTTCCGTATGGTTACGGCATCTTTATCGAATCGATAAATCAAAAGTTACTTCAAACACAGCAGCATTTCCGGCTGGCTATCAGTTCGTGTTCCTTGAAACTTTCATCTTTCAAAACTGTATTCTCAACTTTTCCGTTTGGTTAGGGGGTGTAATGCGATAATTGTTCTTTCTGTATCTTTTGAGCTAAATAATTCAGAATATAATATAATTCTGTTTTTAAAGTAATTTAGGAAGGCTACAGCTACTGTAATTAAAACTAATCCACTTCTATTAACTCTTAATTTAATTTGTCAATGAAATTTTCATCAACTTTGATAAATATCTTTTGACACAAAAAAAATGCTCTGATTCTTTAATTACCTATCTCTCCTTTATTTCCTTTCTCTTCATTTTCTCGAAGAACTTGTTAAAAATTGCAATGTAAATTCTTTTCAGATGTTACAACATCTTCTAGAATTTCGTACACGTACATTTACTAAATGTACTCTAAAACATCCCCGAAATTTGTCTTCAAGATGTCACAGTTCAAAGAAGAAAACGGAGGAAAGAGCAAAATGAATGTAATCGTACCATCCCACAAAAATCTGTATCAAAAATTAACAGATACAAAGAAAAGGGAAAGCTCTTACGACGGTTTAAAAGCCGGAAAAGGGAGGTAAAGGAAGGCAAAAAAAGCCAAGGAAAACTTCTGTTAGAAGAGGGCGTGTGGCGAGACAAAGAGAAAAAAAGATGTCACGGTCCATTCGTGAAATTTTCTTCGCGTGGACATTATTACGTGTTATAATTTACGAGGTCGT